TATGAGCAGGGCCGGATTTCCCACAAGGCAACCGAGGCCGTGCCTTGGGACAGCAGGGAATAAAGGAACAGCACAGCCGCTGGGCGGGTAGTTTTTTTTCTACATTTAGCCTGCTTCGGCCAAGCAGGGCTAAATGTACAGCTGGCAAGCCGGTGTTTTAGTACAAGTGATCCCAGCAATGTTGTCGAGATCACTGGTTATATGCCTGCAGCTCCGTCCCCCCCCACGCCACCCCCTTTCTAAGGTCTGTTCCTACCTCACCTGACTGCCTCTCCCCGCTGGCCTTCTCCCTTCCCGCCATGATTTTCGAGAGCCCCCAGCACATTCATTAATGATGAAGAGCAGGGAGCTGGGCAGAGAACGTCCATTCTCCGCTCTGCTCCATGTAACCACTGAGAAGGGAGAGCTACCTTCCCTTCTCAGCTGTCTCAGGGGTTCCAGCAGGGTACTGTGCTACAACTTCTGTATTGGAGCTGACAGGGTAAATAAAGAGAACCTGTCACCTCCAAATGCTATCACACAGCAGCTTGTTACCTCCTGTATGATAGCAACAAAGGTAAGTGGGAAAAAAATAACAAAACAAATAAAAAGTAAAAAATAAAAAAAAAGTAAAAAATAAGAAATAATTAAAATGTAAAAAATTATTATATGAAAAAATTATAAAATAATAAAAAGACAAATAAAAATTAAAAAAGTTTAAAAAAATAAAAAGAAATGATAAAAAGTGGTTTAAAAAAAGAAAAAAATAATAAAGATAAAATTAAAACCAACCCTGCCACCCCCCGCCATCTGGTTGCCATTCTTCATTGAGAGGGCTTTGCAGGTGAGGGGGCGCAATGAGGAACCCGGCCTTGCGGCAGCAGAGAGAGTAAATACGGCCCTGACTATGAGTCCAGCATGTCTGCCCAGATAGGTTGACGTTGGACATATTTCAACATGGCAGATCTATTACAAGTTGTACAAATGTAATTACGAATATGGACCTTATGTCCACATAAGCAGTTCTATAAAAGCTTTAAGCCGTGCTACAATGTCTCTTTTTATAGTAATTCTGCTTTCACACTTACTGAAAGGGGATTGAATATCGGTGGATTGTCGTTGGCTTCTTTTACAGTGATCACAGCTTTGCCAGTGGTTTCATACCCCGCACCTTCCTGGTCAATGGCTTTCAGTGTCAGAGTGTACAGAGGATATAACTGGAAAGGATGCAGAATTAAACACATGAGTTATATAGGGCCGGTGTTGATGGGCTTCTCTTCACTTCAAAGAGGATTTGCATTTTCATACAAGTCTATGGAAATGCAAAACCCACTTGAAGCAGGTCAACTGCAGGTCAAATGTACCAGTATGGGAATGCCAAACCCACCTAAAACAGATGAAATGCAGGTCAGAATAGGGTTTGACAGCAATCCTAGGTTCTCAGTGAACAACCCAACTTACTCGATTCCAATAGAAACCTGGAGAAGCCTTGAACCCTTAAGCTTTCACATTTGACATGTCCTCATGAACAGATGTGATCAGGGTTTTGGGATTAGGTCCTTGCCTAAGCAGTGGTCACCAACACCCAAAAACGCCAAGATCACTTTCTATTTCTATACACAGAAAAAAAAAATGCTGAATGTGATTACTAAAAAATTATGCCCGGAAGAATGCAAACAAGGCTAAACAATGTCATGGAAATAAATAAACCGTACATTAATAAATACTATGGAAGATGTAATTTCCTACAAGATGAAGTCAATGCCAGTGCAGAAAACAAGGGAAATACAATACACTTCTCGGGACTCTCCAGTTCTAGATCTAGTTCTATACAGAGTGCAGAAGGCAATAATATATGAATGAAGATAAATAATTCTCCTTTAAGTGAGCACTAAGTATGGAGTAAGCCACACAAAGGTTTTTCTTGGATTTCCCCTTCGTTCTACTAACATCAGGCAAACAAATTCCTAATGTCTCTTAAAGCAACCCTGTCATAAAAAAATCAAATCTGAAAGAAGTATATCAGCAAGACAAGAAATTAAATAGCTACCGACTCCAGTGTCTGCACCACAAGAGCACCACTCCAATATTCCAGAGAAGTCTGCTGGGAAACCATTTCTGGGAGTGTTGATCTTCTTGCTGATTATAAATATTATTATTATACAGGATTTATATGGTGCCAACAGTTTGCGTTTACAATATAAGTAAGACATTACAATTACATTACAATTCAAGACAAGATGGTAAGGAGGTCCCTGCCCTTGAGGGCTTACAATCTAAGCAGAGAGTAGGCTTGCCGTGCTGTGCTTGTGTGTTTGTGGAGACACAGCTTACTAGAACACAGAAGAGTGGCCAATAGGACCCTGCAAGGGACAGCAGCCATCCTAAAACAGGATATCAGGGCCAGTGCTCAGGGTTACCAGCTATTTCTGCAGGAAACTGAAACTTTTAAACATCAAGGAGCAGCATCCATTATCAGCTTTTTAAATAGCTAAAAAACTGACTTTATTATCACTTTAGGAAATTCTGACTTTTCTTCTTTATTTGCTTTACTGCATGCTTATTCTGAGTCTAAAGCCAGACACAGGCAGACAACTAACATTTTCAAACATTCTAAGCATTGCCAGCCCCCATATTTCCCTTATGACAGGGTCCTGAGTCTTTTATCACCTAGACTGCAGAGTGGCCCTGTGTTGTATACCAATGTGTATCTGGGTGACGTGGACGTTTCTTATTGGCTGCTATTTGGACTGCTCTGCTGCTGACACAGACACGTTTACCCACCGATTAAGCTCCAAGTTTAAGATTCTTATTATCCAGGAGTTTTGCGTTTGAGCCTATTGGACGCTCTTGACACATTGCTAAAGCACTGATGAATGGGGATTTTGGCTTTTGAAATGTGTTGGCTGCCCTTTGCTTTTCCATGGTCACTTATGGAATTTTTGCTGCCATAAGAGTTGCATAAAATATAACAATTCATAGTCATGGTTTAGGGATGTCCCGATGCCACTTTTTCAGGTCCAAGTACAAGTACTCGTCAAAATGCCCTGTATCGGGCCCGATTCCGATGCTAGCATCGGTATCGGGACATCCCTATCATGGTTAATATTCACATTAATGTGAGATGAGAATTTATATAACTATTTTCCTTATTCTATGTATTGTGAACAGTATTATAGTTGGTTCATGTGCTGCCATCTTGTGGTCATTTTAGTTATTGCACATGCTTTCTGTGTTCCTTCCCACCTATGATGTATTACTAACAATTTGATGAAAGCAGAGATATTTGATTTTGTGGCTCATCCTGTCTGTGTCCGAGCACACCTGCCCCCGCACGGATTTGCAGCTTGGGTGAGCGTACAGCGGCATAGGGCCACGTCCTCCCATAGGGAAGAACAGGCTGTCGCGTACAATCACACGCAGCACCTCTCCTTCCCGTGAACGGCCCGATACGGCCATGCACGCCACACGGATCTGTACGGGCCGACTCTAAGCTGAATGAGGCCTAATAGAGTTTTCCCAGTACAACTCCTCCGCTCACCTGGCCGGGCTCCGCTCAGCTCCATGAAATGGTAATCCCTGGAGACCGGCCACCAGACTATCGCCATGTTGCTGTGTATACTATCCGCATGAGATGTAAACAGCAGCCAGGCCAGGTGGAAGGTGTTGTTGACACTCGGTGTGACAATTTGTAGCAGGTGACGTGGAGTAGCAGCATGAGCATCATGAGCAGCAGATACAGCAGTCTGGAGAAAGACTCCGAGGTGTTTTACTTCACCACTAGGACTTCATTCAGGAGGATTCTGTGGAAGGCAGCCGGGGGCCACTATGTGAGTTTGTCCATATGGAGCCCATCTATTGCTCCTGTGTGCCTGACACACCTCTGCTATCATACTGAGGTATCATATCTGACCATTTGCTGTATGTGCAGCAGTATTGGGTTAGATTAATGGAGCCCACACTGCTACATATTATGGAGGAGCTGTCCACTGACACCATGCACTAAACTTTTCAACAAGACAGACACTTGTGCAGACTTGTAGGGGTGCCACCTGACCCTGGCTGTCTCTCCTGGCTCTCTCTCCTGGCTGTCTATCCTCTCTCTCTCCTGGTTATCTCTCCTCGTTCATCCTCCTGGATGTCTCTCTTGCCTGGGTGTCTCTCCTGTCTGTCCTGGCTGTATCCCCTTTATCTCTCTCCTGACTGTTCCTCCTCTCTCTTCTGGCTGTTCCTCCTCTCTCACTCTCAAGGCTGTCTCTCCTCGCCTTGCTCTCTCCTCCTGGATGTCTCTCCTCTCTATGTCCTGAGTGTTTCTCCTCTCTCTCCTGGCTGTTTCTCCTCACTCCCCTCTCCCTCCCCTGGCTGTCTCTCCTCGCCTCTTCCTGGCCGTCTCTCCTCTCTCTTCTGGCTGCCTCTCCTCGCTCTCCCCTGGCTGTCTTTCCTCACTCTCTCCCCTGACTGTCTCTCCTTGTTCTCTCCACTGGCTATCTCTCCTAGCTCTCTGTCTCCTGGCTGTCTCTCCTTGCTCTCTCCTGGCTGTCTCGCTTTGCTCTCTCTTCTGGGTGTCTCGCTTTGCTCTCTCTTCTGGCTATCTCTCCTTGCTCTCTCCTGGCTGTCTCGCTTTGCTCTCTCTTCTGACTGTCTCTCCTTGCTCTCTCCTGGCTGTCTCGCTTTGCGCTCTCTTCTGGCTGTCTCTCCTTGCTCTCTCCTGTATATTCCCCAAATCAAATTGCTGCTGGGCGCAAGAGTGTTCGGGCTTCATTTGGAGAAAAGGTGGCAACCCTAGTTCAGATCCACCACCCACCACCAACAACGTTTCTTTATTAGGAACAATGAACACTCATGCAAAGCCGATTTACTGACAGGTCCTCTTTAATTGCTGTCAATGAGCACGTCATCTCCCGGAGTTTTACGTTACATTTCTGGCTCAGCGCGTCACGTGACGCCTCACACAAGGCCGCGCTCCTTTCGCCCAGCAGCAGCATCTGGCCTGACGTCATCGATATGCGACTCTAGGTGTAGAAAGATGGCCGTTGCTTTGAGCGTGTCTGAGGTGACAGAGGCTCTGCAAATACTGATCACCCCGAGAGGTGAGGGCAGGCTCTGGGACTAGTTCCCAACATGCACTTGTGGCTGGGAGGACATGCTGGGACTTCTAGTACATAACAATATCCCTGTACTGTACACTGATAGTGTAGTACGGTGCTACATGCAGGTGGGCAGAGGCTGGTAATTCGTGTATGAAATGTTAGCACTGGAACTATAGGAAATGGGGGGTCAGAGAGCATTTCAAGAGTTTAAAGAAACTATGCCATTACAGGTACACAGGCTGCTTGCGCTGACCTCCTTCTGAAACCGTTAATTGCCCCTCTGTCATGATGGTCCTAAAGCTTCAATGTGTTTTGCTTTGTATTAATGTATCGCACCTATTAATGGCTTTCTTAGTGGTATACAATTACCAGAACCGTGGCTGAACAATTTAATAAAATGTTTATCCCAAATAAAATGTTTTTTTTTGTCCCTCCAATCTTTATTTTATTTTTCATCAACATCAAGTTGATGATCAGTTTCACATCAGGACTGTCAAAAGAACAATCCCATAGATCAGGGGTATCCAAACTTTAGCACTCCAGCTGTTTTGGAACTACAAGTCATATACGGCAAGACTATGACAGTCACAGGCATGACTTCCAGAGGCAGATGTATTATGGGATTTGTAGTATTGCCACAGCTCGAGAGCTGCAGTTTGGCTACCCCTGCCATAGATCCATGGGCAATAGTAAATCTCAGTACACTGCTGGGGGGATAGCATCAATTGTCACAATGCAGCCTTGGGCGTGAAACGGTTTACTGACAAAGTGAACAACGCAGAAGAGATACAAATATTCAGAAGACTCAACTTTTTAATTCCATTCGGCTAAGTTCGTTAGGCCCTAATGCAATTGTTTTTTTTTTTTAAATTACGATTGTAAGGGAAAATCTGCAATGAGGGGATTCTAGCTTTCCCCCCCACTTTACAAAAATGTGGACACAACAATAAAAACAATAAAACGTGAATATACGTATTTGTAACAGATTGATCTTGCGCTTCCATTGTGGGGATGGGAGTTTTCACCCCTTTATGGTCTCCCTGTAAGTCTCACGGCGTGGCCACCTTACTTGGCACATTCTTAATTTCTACAAGTGGAAGCAGCCAGCGCTGGCATGTGAAGCCTCACCCAGTTTTGTCATTAAGCTGCTTCTATTACAGAATCTGATGGGGGCACGTATGCCCATTGCTGAGTGCCGGGACAAGGCCCCCTGGGAGATTCATTCTGAGGCTGGCCATCCACATCACAATGAATATAGGTGCATTGCTCAAGCCTTAGACCAGACGTTCCGGAACTGAGCCTTGGAGATCCGCAGGGCAGAGCAAAATATGTGTGGGCCTTTATTAGCATTAACTTTCTTTTTTGTGGGGGTTAAAGTGACATTAAAGTCTATTTCCCCCCCCCCTCCCCCACCCAATCCTGCTGTAGGGACTTACCTTAAGTGATGCCTCTTATTCCAATCATCTTCCTTCCAGTATTTTCCAGCAGTCCCTCCAGAGCTGGTGAAGGTCTCTGATCCAGTGCAGACTCCTTGGGTCCCACTGTGTCTGTCCAGTGTGCACTACTATTGAGTCACTCCTCTTCTCCCCGCCGATGATCTCCAGTGCGCATGCGCCCGCCCGGATCTTCCTGTGTGAGCTGCACTGCGTATGCACCCGCCCAGATCTTCCTGCATGATCTGCGCATGCGGCTGCCCAGAACTTCCTGCACGGCAGTTCGGGGAAGCTGGATGCTGCAGCCGGGAGCGAGCGGCAGAGACACAGGTAAGTATTTACCTATTTGGTAACTTTTTAATTTTTAAAAAATGTTTTTGCATATAGCTACGGCTTGCTAGCCGTAAATATATGTTAAAAAAAAAGAATGTAATTCTATGTTAATGACAGTTTAATTGTAAGTGCATCTAGACAGTTTTCTCTTAGTTCCCACAAATTGATGTTGATCCTGTCAGTGAAGTCCACCTAATGCAGCTTAGTGTCACGGAGTGGCAACAATGCTGCACTGCTCCTGAATTCAGAGCACAGTTGACCGACCACTATCATGTAGCGGGTGCCTGATTACACTACTGCTATACACTACTACTATTACAAGTGGGATGGGAAGACATTTCAGGGGGCGTACCATCAGTATTGTCACCTTTAATTCCCAAGTTATAGCTTGTCAATCAGCACCTAGCCACAACCAATCCCACACAGTGATTTCTGGATTGGCAGAGCTAACTGTGCTACTGAAACCCTCCCACTGTGAGCTGCAGTGTCTGGGAGAGGGAGCATTTGAGACACAAATGAAGGAGGATTTGGCTCAGTCCGGGCAGTGTAAAGGATTTTTTCCTTTTGATGCTCCTGCTGTACATATTTCCTGGATTTGGCACTTGTCATACAGGAGCCTTCAGTTGTACTTCAATAAAATGTAGAAAAGTAATTAAACAGTAATTAATTTTTACAGAAGGAGATCACAAGGTCCAGATTCTCTCAGTACACGTGCCTAGCTATACATATACTGTACATTATACAATGTTTTTGATCATCCAGGTCAGCAAGTTCCACGTTTTCAGTTCCTCTGAATATGTTTGGCAGTTTGTGATTCCTGATTGCTTCTGCTTTGCATGTTTATCGCTTCTCAACAAAAAGATGTAATCCTTTGTTTGCAACATATGCGAAGTGTGTGGCCAACCCACAATATTCCTTTTTTCCATTCTCCAACTACTATTTCCTTAAAGAACATGTGCACTTATTCTTTTTGCCCTCCTCCCCTGACCTGAACGATCACACTCACCACCCCCCCGTAGATCCGAATTTACCGACATCTGTGGGCCACTACTCTGTTTTTTGCTGCCATCCAGCACTGCAGGTTTCCCTCTCCTGGCCGCGTCTGTCTCCCAGGAGGGAGCCAGCCCCAAAGAAGTCTATGGGGTCTAATGTTCAGGTGCGGGCAGCAGAGAGAGAATCGCGATGCTGTATATAAACAATAGCAGAACCATGATGGACGGATTTTGGCCAGGGGTGGGGGGCAAAAAGGATAAGTGCATTTTGTTTAAAAGTTCACTTATTCTTTCAGCATCATGATGAGACTTTGTGACATATAAATTCCTTTCTTTTGTTCCTTTTAGAGCCTGGATCTGCTGCTCAGGATACCGATAAACAGGCTGCCTTAATCAGCACATTGCAGCATAATGTGGCCTCTCTGGAGGAGGAGCTTCAAAACGCCCCTACGTTGGAGAACCTTCAAACTTTGCGGGCAAAGGTCTTCGCGGACACCAAGCTTATACAGGAAGGCTCCGAAGCCGGAGCAGATCCATCATGGAGGTTCACGTCAGAGGCCCTGGTGCTGCTCCTGTGTCTGAAGGAGTGTATGGTTCAGTTGGCAGCTTCTTTCATACCCCCTAAACCCAACCTAAAGACCCCAGAGGCTGCTCCAGCCCTGAGCCCAGATGCACTCAGCATTGCCCAGCAGAAGACTGTCCACTCAGCACTCCAGTTTGTGGTTTCTTTGGGAATCTGCCCCTATCTCCTGCCTGGCATCGGCCTTCCACTGCAGCATCGCTCAGAATTTGGAGCCCTTGTGTGTTCCATGGTGTCATGTGACTTGTCTGACGTCCGCACCCGTAGGCTGTACATCACCTGCACTGCCTTACTGGAGCTGTCTCGGCATCCATCACTGGGGAGCCTGCTCTTTACGCAGCATCTGGGGGATCTCATGGCAGGACTATGCCAGTTGGGTTATTGCCCAATCAAGACAAAGGCAGAGCCGGGAACAGATGGCAGAGTGCAGGTATAAAGTCATTGTAATACCGCCATAACCTTTGACAGTTCTCTGTGCCTTATTTTTTTCATGACTTTCTTTAATCTAGTAGATTGGTTTAAATATTACAAATGTCAGATGTGCAAATGCCACGTTCAAGGTGCTGGCTCAAAAATAAGTATTAAAATCAATTACATTTTTTATATTACAAAGATAATAAAAAAGTATAAGAACAATATATTTAGGAGGTACAGAGCAGTTTCTTTTCATACATATATGTTACCTTCTACCACCACTTACATTACCTCTTAAAGTTCCAGTATCTTGTGTCAGTAAATAATTATAGAACTTGTACTACAATTATTGAGGTTCACGTCAGAGGCCCTGGTGCTGCTCCTGTGTCTGTGCTCCAAGTTCTTGACATATCATTAAGAACTTGTACTTGACCATATGTACTTCAAGGTAAATTGAGACTGTTTTGCATCAACATGTTTCACAATTAGCTTCATCAGGATGACGAAAGTAATCTAATCCTATCATGTAAGACCCAATAAGTACATGTATGTACACCAAAGTACCATCATAACATTGTATACAAAATATAATTTCAAAACTTAAAAGAACTATGGGGTAACCTTTTTATCCCATAGTTCTCTCAAGGGTCACGGGGCGACATATTCTAATGACCTCCCGTGAACCAAAGCTCAGTATATAGCGGGCTATTGCTCACTATATACTAAGAGCACCGCAGCCAGGACGTATCCCGACAATATTGTCGGGATCCACCCAGCTGCCTGAATGACAGCTGGCTCTGCCTATCTAGAGGCAGAGCCAGCTGTGACCCTTGAGAGAACTATGGGGTAACCTTTTTATCCCATAGTTCTCTCAAGGGTCACGGGGCGACATATTCTAATGACCTCCCGTGAACCAAAGCTCAGTATATAGCAGGCTATTGCTCACTATATACTAAGAGCACCGCAGCCAGGACGGATCCCGACAATACTGTCGGGATCCACCCAGCTGCGTGAATGACAGCTGGCTCTGCGTATCTAGAGGCAGAGCCAGCTGTGCCCGACCCCTTCCCTATCCATTCCTCTAGTCAGCGCTGGAGGATCGGAGCGGGAGGGGGGAATCCCTGCGGGGAGTGGTGACTGACCGCTCTCTGCAGGGAGGTGATTGGGAAGTGAATGAGCGACGGTATGTGTTTGCTCACTTCCCGATCTATAGAGCCGACCTGTGACAGTTTCATTGTCACAGGTCGGCTCGAACTATGAGGTTGAGCGAAAATTACCTCATAGTTCTCCTTTTAAGTCCCATTTGCAAACTGATTTAGCTTGGCGGTGACAATGTACAACTAGAATGTAAGCTTTTCATTATGTTTTATTTTTATTATTTTCTCTAGACAAGTAATAGCCATGTAAGTATATTTTCTTTCCAGGCCAAATGTAATATTAGGAAAATGCCACATTGTGGCCACTAGATGGAGCTGAGGAGCATAGAAAATAAGCGTTGATTGATGGGGACAGTTCATGTACAAGTCAGTTTTATGTGTTTGAGGGGCCTGGTAGGAAGAGACAGAAAAACAAACTACTACAGGGAATCTTTTAATGAATCCTTGGAGAGGTATTGGAAGTTGTAAGGTGATCCAACATGTCCATGCATAATAAAATCAAAGCATCAGTTTGTGTGGTGCCAGTCTTTAAAACCCAATTAAACTTTCAGTTTAAATCAGCTGAATATATTCCATGTGCGTGAAATCAAAAGGTGCACCATGTGTTCCAGTTTATTTTCCTTTTAAAGAGTAGAAAAGCCTGTATTCTGCCAGCAGCTGCACAGTGGAACCTCTTGTTCTCTGTGTGAAAGCAGTGATCTCTCTGCAGCCGTCCGACACACACCCCTGTGTGACCTGTAGCTCTACAATTAGCAAAGCTTATGGTCCCTGCTGATTGGAGAGTTCTGGCTGTAACTCAGCAGAGGGCAGGTCTGACCTCTGCAGAGAGACCACTGCTTCCACACAGCGCAGATCCTTCTCTGCAGCATGCAGAGAAACAAAATCAAGCAAGCAGTTATAGAATAGGTACAAGAATAAAATTAGGCTGATCATTTGGTGCAACAATAAGTAGTCACGTGACAACATACCCCATCTACTTTATTTTCCTACTAAGAATTTGACGGAGAGCGAGAGGGTCCAATGTAAGGAGGCTCTCAGAGGTCTGATGGATCAACTGTACCAGCCGCTTGTTATCAGGGAACTCTTAATCCTGCAAGGAGGACCCAGACAGGTAATTCTCAGTTTTCGTTTGGAGGAACGTCTTTTTTTTATTTTTATCCTCAACTCTCTTTAAAGTTGATGCAGTCAATTGTCTGGAAGCTGGCCTTGGGGTGTTATGCAGAGTGAAGTGGAAAATATGTCATACAGCATAGTGGACAGAGTAGCGTGCCTGTGTTTAATGGATGTAATGGATACTGATTGGAGTGCAGTATGAGTATATATTGCACAGCACAGTCAATAGATTAGTACAATGTGGCGTATATGACATACAACACAATGTAGAGGATGGAGCAGTGTAGATTATATGTCAAACAGCATGTTGTATGGAGTGAAGTGGTGTGATATATATGTAGTGCTGCATGGTGTATGGAGTGCCGTGAAATATATATAGTACAGCATGGTGTATGGAGTGAAGTGGTGTGATATATATGTAGTACAGCATGGTGTATGGCGTGAAGTGGTACAACAATGTAAGTAGGGATGCACCCATACTTTTCAGATACCAGTGCAGATACTTGGCATTTTCATGAGAACTACCAGGGTTGCAGAGGTTGCAGCTGGGACCTGGCTCTGGCACTCCACCACTGTCCTGAAACCATTAGTCGATTTTGTTTTAGAAAAACTGTCACATGACAATAAACAAAAACGTATCAGTACTTGTATCTGTGAGTACTTGGGCGAGTATCAGTACTTGTACTTGCAAAACTGGTATCGGTGCATCCGTTTATTTATATTTATAACAACAAAATCATACATTAAAACAGAGATGTACAAATCCCAGGAGCCCCGTATTCTCCTTACCAATGGCAGCTGCCTCCTAACTTTTGAATTTTTCTCTAGTCTAGTCCTGGAGCTTGAAAAGTATCTGTACTTGTGCTTGCACTGAGCACGGTACAAGGCATCGGTGCATCCCTAAATGTAAGGGAGGTATATACACTGAACAGCAATGTAACAGAGGTACATGCACTGAGCAGCAATGTAACAGAGGTATATACACTGAGCAGCAATGTAACGGAGGTATATGCACTGAGCAGCAAGCAATGTAACAGAGGTATATACACTGAGCAGCAAGCAATGTAACAGAGGTATATGCACTGAACAGCAATGTAATGGGGGGGGGGGGGCTGCCCTGTTTCTAGACTGTTGTTGATTGCGGAAAGTGTTATACAATACAACAATGTCAGGTGACATTAAAGATGGAGTGAGGAAAGTTGCATACGTAGGGAGAAATAGGAGTCTTTGGTCTTAGGGTAAAGGGCGATACAGTGTAACAGGAGAGGAGGTAATGATTGATTAACGCATAACACAAAAAGCAAAATAAGTTGGTCAGTACCCATAGTGCATTTTTTTCAAAGTGTATTGGTTCTCGTCATAGTTTCTAAATCTGCGCGGCCCCGAAACGTCGGCTCTTGTTTGATCTTTTGTGACACTATCGTCCAATAAAAAGGACTTATTCATTTTAAATATTTGGAGTGCTGGTGACCTATTCTTCCAATTGTTTCTAAACAAACATTACATTGTGTTTCAGGGCCCACGTCCTTTAGGAGCTTCGTCCTCAGCGCAAAGGGCCCCGGCTCCTACCTGGCTGCGCCGCTTGTCTGGGCAGCTGCTGTCTGAGCGATTAATGAAACCAAAAGGTGTCCAGGCCGTGGTTCGCGGGATCCTTGAAGGAGCTGGAGGTTGGTTAAATGGTTGAAAAAAAATTGTTCTAATATGCTTTCTCTCCTATCCTGAAACTTGGTATGCAGAGTTATTGTATGTAGGCTTTGTAATAGGAAGGCCAAATTCTGACTGCATGTTTATTGCCTGCCTGGATGAAATGACTTGGTAACTTCTTTTCCCTTATTAAATAAATACATAAAAATATGCAGCGTATCATCTATTTTTGGTCTATTAATAGCACAACAGCTGCAAAGAGATCCATCACACCAGAGCACTGACCTCCACCTATTCACTGGAACCTGAAGTTGTTTGGTCATTCTCTACAGCACATATGCCATGTGAGGTTGGAAGACCTTACTAGACAACTCAACAAGTATGTTGCATCCAGCTGTAGGTTTACACCAGGGGCGAGCAAACTCCTGCCCTCCAGCTGTGGTGGAACTGCAAATCCCACCATGCCTCTCCCTCTGGGAGTCATGCCTGTGGCTGTCAGAGACTTGCAATGCCCCATGGGACCTGTAGTTCTACAGCAGCTTGAAGTTCATTGTTGTATTTTTCGAGGCATTGGAAGCTATAATGGCAAAGTCATTCTCTACGTAAATGTAGGCAGTGGTCGTAATAGCAGCTTGATTTTTCCCCCCCACGGGTCTACCCCTAGCAGCTGGTATAAAAAAAGAAAACATAATAAAGTTTACTAGAAGAAAAAAAAAGAGTTGATTTTTTCATATAACATCATATCATCTGATCATATAAAAAAATCAAAGGTAGTAATTTCACAGGCATAGCTAAGAACCATCAGCTTCATAGCACGCTACGTGTAACAGCAAAGTCTTTTTTCATTTTTTTTGTCCTTGTTAAGTTGGTACCGCTGGGGGAAGAGATGCAGAAGCTGCCGCCAGCAACTGGAAGAAGTGTGACGCTGTGGCCAAGATCCTGGCGTCATGTCCTCAGCAATCGCTGACCGTGGAGGAGTATTACCAGAAGGTCTGCCCACAGGTAACCATGATCTCTGCTCCTCACTCCTCATTCCTCCCTTCTTCAAGCTAGTAGATGGAGAGTTGCTTGAGACTGTCCCTTGTGATCTTGTACTGGACAGGAAGTTCAGGGAAGTGCAGCTGAAAAAGTTGGAGCTGTTCTGAAACATGGGTGTAAGTGTTTGGGCAAAAATGTAAAGAAATTCTTTGCTGGACAAGATATAATTTTTTTTCTGGATTCATTCTTGGAAAAAAAAGCTTGAGAGTTTAATACTACTTTAAAGTGGACATTCACTCAGCTTTTTGACAATTTATAATACGTTCCCCTCTCCATTTTGCACATTTGGTATGGTTTATTTTTTGGGTAGTAAGTACCTTTTCCAGCAGATGCTTGCTACCCACTTACTTATTCCTCGCCTTCGGTCGCTTTAAGCAGCTGCAGGGTGGCACTAAAGTGAGGCTGTTGCCCTTTCCACTGACATTTCATAATTTCAGGGCGACCTGGCACGGTCTCATATAACTTGCTAATTTATAATTTTACTCTATACAGATAGTCATCTGTGCATGTGTAATGCTCTTTTGTAAGAAACTATGTATGACCAGGGAGTCTGGCAGGCACATAATATTATCCTGCCTTTCTCAGTGTGGCTAACAATTACAATTATTTATATTAGGGCTGCACCGATAACGATACTAGTATCGGGGCCGATGCCGAGTATTTGGGCGAGTACTCGTACTCGCCCATATGCTCCGATGCCTAGCCCGATACCTGTAACAGGAAGCCGGGCAGCGAGTCATTACACGCTGCCCGGCTTCCTGATTGGCCGGGAAGCCGGCTCCATGCTCCCTTTTCACTAGGTGATGAGGAAGCATGGTGCCAGCTTTCTGGCCAATCTTGAAGCCGAGGGTGCGGGTAATGAGTCGCTGCTCGGCTTCCTCATTGGCCATCTTTGGGACCCATCAGGAAGGCTGGCAGTGAGTCATTACACGCCACCCGACTTCCTGATTGGCCGGGAGGCTGGCTCCGTGCTTCCTGGTCCCTCGCTGCCTGGCTTCCTGATACTGGAAGTTCCAGCTTCGGGATAGGCATCGTGAGTATTTGGGCAAGTAGGGGTAGTCGCCCAAATACTCGGTATCGGCAACGATACCAATACTACTATCGGTGCATCCCTAATATATAAAATATATATATTATAATTCCCCCCAGCGTATTTAAAAAAGAAAAA